AAAATTGACCACCACGACTCTATTCTTTGATTTGATGTACTTTTTCCATACAGAAAAGGAGGCAGTAGACTATGCCCATCATCCGTTAAAGCCTGGTTTCTTAAATTAATTTGAATTTCTTTGACTAAGCCATTTTCAGTGCCCATGTCAGCCCTTACAGTTCTAGGACAACCTCCAATTGACTTTAATGTTAGCAAATAGTAGGCTGCTATCACACTTGGATCGCTAGTATTGTTCCCGGCATACAGCCACATTATTCGCCTAGAAAATCCGTCGATGCATCCGCTAATACATATACCAAATGGCTTTAGTTTATCATAACAGTCCATATGCCATAGAAAGTTAGGTCCTTTATTCTTATATTGCCTACGACGTAATCTACGTCTAGTGCGAATATCTACACCTACCGGATCAATAATGTGAAGTAACAGTCTCACAACTTCTTGTGTCACAACGAAATGGGCCTGCAAGCATTTTAAATACATCCACCGATACCCATGGAGTTGGCTGTGCTGGTGAACACTGTTTTCAATAAAGTTTGCCACATCGGTTATATCCGAGTAATTCTGTCTTCTGAATAAATTTAGTTTTCTCAGCAAACGTCTAAGGTGGCGATCACTAATAAATATGCTATGATTTAACGCCAAACAAGACACTATCTCACACTGTTGTAAACCCATACGAAAATAAAATGAGATCAGTTCTTCCATTTCGACAAAGTAGTACCACGATACCGCATTTAAAACACAATCGCCAGTAGCTGTCAACTCTGAACAATTAGTAACCGGGATTGGATTAATACAGAGTATAATAACGGGAACTCAAACGTAATTTCGGGTTACAACTCGAAGCTAATCTTAATTTCGTGTTGTAACTCGAAATTACAGTTAATTTCGAGTTGTAACTCGAAGCTGACCTTAATTTCGAGTTATAACTTGAAATTACCGTTAATTTCGAGTTGTAACTCGAAGCTAGTCTTAATTTCGACTTATATCTCGAAGCTGGCCTTAATTTTGAGTTATAACTTGAAATTAGTAAAATATTTTATCTATGTCCGCTCTACGCTTTCGTAGCTTAATACTACTTAAAAAATCAAGTTATACTTTGTATGGGGTTAGCTTTTTTTATATTTCTATTGTTATATACAAATTTAACGGGAGTAAAAGGAACTTTCTTATACCAGTTATATCCTTAAGAATACGTGTACCAGTTTTCAAAGCGATCGTACGTCGTGCACATGATACGTACGCCTTTCTGAAATTAATCCTAGCGATTTTGGAACAGATCCATTTTTGACCATCCGTTTGTCCATGTGCATGATAACTTGTTTAGAAACGTGCGATCGCTTTGAAAATTGGTACACATGGTTTTAAGGATATAAGAAAGGTCCCTATTGCTTTTAAATTACGTAGACTATCGAGTTCGGTATTCAGATGTATCGGATTTTGATTTTGTGAGAATGGAAACTTTCCCTAAACATTTCTAAATTGTTCTCAAATATTTGAATAACTTAAAAGTACTGCCTTTTTTTGAGGCAGGAAAAAAAATTGTCTGAGATCGAGATCGATCGGAGAGTCCATAATTTCAAACAGTTTGAAGATTGGGCTACTAGATCAAAAGTTACAGCCCTTTGAATTTTTTTTCGAAATTTGTTTTTTGTCCATAACTTTTGATTGAGAAGTCTAATCGAAAAAGTACGAATTGTTTTGGATTCTACGCACCAAAATTAATAAGAAAAAGTCTTTTCCCGAGAAATTTTGGTGTAGTCGATTTTTGGTAAAAAAGGAAGGTTATACACTGCCTTTTTTTGAGGCCCGAAAAAAAAATTGTCTCAGATTGACCCGGAAAAAAAATTTTCTTATAGAATGTGGCCTGTAGAATCCATAATTTCAAACAGTTCCAAGATTGGGCTACTAGTTCAAAAGTTACAGCCCTTTAAATTTTCTTTCGAAATTGGTTTCTAGTCTATAACTTTTGATTGAGAAGTCTGATCGAAAAAGTACGAATTGTTTTGGATTCTACGCACCAAAATTAATAAGAAGAAGTGTTTTCTCGAGAAATTTTGGTGTAGTCGATTTTTGGTAAAAAAAGGAAGGTTATACACTGCCTTTTTTTGAGGCCCGCAAAAAAATTGTCTCAGATCGACCCGGATCATCTACGTCTACGATTATTACAGAAATATCAGAAACAAAGATAGGCACGTGTACGGCATGATTTTAAAAATTTCTAGCCACTATTTGAATTTTTACCAAGCTCGGTCCACCGCTGTCGATCTTCCTTTTATTTGGCAAAGTGATGCTTCAAAATTGTCTGAAAAGGAAAACGCTTAGCAAAATTGTTAATCCAAATTTAAGAATAACACTGCACCAAAAATTAAATTAAGTATAATTTAAAAACGTTTCTCATAGTCTCACTGGTTTCCTATTATACACAAAAGAATTTACAATATTTATCAACAATTCTTTATGTTCGTAAAATAAATTAAGTATCCTATTATGTATAAATATGCAGTTCATAGTACTACATTTGTGGTCATTAAATAAAACAAAAACAATAATAAACTTCGCTGTTACCTACTGTTCTTGTTTTATTACGAGTATTCCTTATAAATGAGTAACTGCGCCGTCACATTTTGCGGCAAATATTACCGCTTTTATAACAGAGATTTCTTGAAGTAAGACAGTTTGGAAAAGTATAATACAAGTTAGGAAAATATGTTACACAGACAGAATCTAACATAAGGCAGGAATAATCATTCTTCTAAGTCGTTATCGATGCGGCTACTGTGAATACCCGTATTTCCGGTCCAGGGGTATATGTCAGGACAGGGTTGGCAGGTACGCATATATCGCACTCCCGTCTTATGCCACAAATTGCACACTTTAGGATTGTTACATCGTTTTGGTCGGTCCTGGTAAAAGTGCTTTAGTACAAGTTCTCATTGTGATATAAACAACTTACAGGATAATTACACCCGAATGGTTGAAAGGAATTTAGTCTAGAAGTGGGAGTAGGATCTCTAACCCACTGAATTGCTTGCCAATTCGTTACCAGCCACACATCTTTCATAGAATTTATAGCGTCCAAAAACTGAATAAACCCTTCTTTATGATGGGGTTGTGTGAACCACGCTGCATGGTAGAAGAGACCAAATGGAGCTCTACCAATTTCATGTTGATAACATAACATCTTGTATTACCTAAGTCTTACCTATTTGACGTGTAATGGCGCTCAAAATTTTTCATTATCATTTTATATACCCCCTCGGCATCTGAAGGATTGCTGCAAGCGTCTCCCATTGAACACCGACCGCCATTCAAATCTTGCCACATCACCATAGGTACTTCCCAAACGCCAGGATATGAACGAGTCGGGCACGGCGGTATCATACAATCGTGGAATAATTTATAATCTAAAGTGTAAGGCCAACTTGGAGGCTTGTTTTCATATATTGGCATAGAAGAATCAAACGTGAAGTTAGAATCGTACAGCATTTTGAACATCTTATTTCCTCCCACCTAAACACTCCTCAGTTACATCTAAAGGCCCAACAACCGAAGCAACTTACAGATAAAAACGGAGCCCTCATTCCTCTAACATCTTCTAAATGAACACCCCCATACGCGGAAAGTATTTCTCGTTGTCCCGCCACTTCCTTTGTCCACTTTTTCTGAGAAAATTGCTCCCCGAAGCTATGTCTACGAAATTTTGGACAAATTATATGATTGCCACTCAGCGGAGAACAATAATTAATTAAGCAACAACACAAAAAGCGCAAACAAAAATTAAACAGTAGTAAGCAGCTTAAGAGAAGAATAATATTATTTACAACATTTATAGAAAAAAATCGCGCATTAATTCTATTTGAATCAAAATGACTGTACTCAAATTAGTATTAATTAAGTGCATATGAAAAATCTATGTACAGTGCATGTGATTGATTGTGGGAGGGACTTACGATACAGTATGAGATGCGATTTCGTGACCATCAGAGTATAAGTTTTGGACTTGACTGTAATCGGTCCACTCGTGGGATACGTAGAATGTAGCGGCAATGGGACAACCGTTGGGATTGACTCTGCCCTTCTCGAAAAGGTCGCTGTATAGGCCCTTATTCAAGTCGTTTACAGAGTCATCATATGTTAAGAGAACCATTTGAGGCACTTGCTCGACAGGTAGATCACCTATTAGTTAGTGGGCATAGCAAGACAAAGAAGAATACGTTAGAGAATCGAAATAAGCTATTTGATTGCATATAGAATAGATAAAACAAGCAAAAATATATTAGCAACATGGCAGCTCCTGGACAGCAACACCTCACTTACGATACTGTGTGCGAAGCTAATTCGTGTCCGTCAGCGTACAAATTTTGAACCTGACTATAATCAGTCCACTCGTGAGATACGTAAAATGTTGCAACAATGGGGCAACCATTTGGATTAACACGCCCATTCTCAAAGAGCTCGGAGTAATGAGGTAAGTTGAGATCATTAACAGCATCATCAAACGTCAGCAACACCATCTGCGGTACATCGGCGACGTCCAAGTCTCCTAACGGCACAAAAAAAATCTACACATGCATACTTTTAACCATTCGACCAACGGAGCTGGATTGCAGAAGATCTGTAATACGTTCGACACGACAAAACAAAACTTACCGGGAATCTCTTTTCCACCGCAGGAACAGTCGGGTAAAAGGCATACGTCCTTTCGACATTTCGCGGCAGTTTTATCCGGTAGAGGTTGGGGATAGATTGGTTCTGGTCTACGTGGAGGATATTTGTAGATGTCGATGAATTCCGCCGCTTTCGCAACTACTGAAGTAGAAGGTTTTAGCGTTGGCCGAGAACGTCTGAAAATAATTCGCATGTAACATCAAATCGATAAAAACGATTTAGTCTTACGATGGCGGTGTGCCTCGGTTTACGGAATTGTCGTTCCGACCAGAAGTGGTATAGTGGGCCGAACCTCTTCCCCGATTATTTGTTACTCTAGAAGTGCATAAACATTATACAACAATTCGATGCACCTAGACCATCAAACTATTTACATTTGCCACCTAGCTACGCTACCACCATGCATACCATCTAATACAACCTGTTAATGCCGTCTAGCAGTTTGTGTATATGTTTTATGGTAATATTTTGGGTGATGCGTTAATTGTGCAACATGTGTTATAATTTGGAGAAAAAGGGTCCAGTCAACCTCCAGTCTCTTGAGGAGTAACAGGATAATTTTGGATCATTTAGTGAATTCGGCAAAAAGCGAGTGGTAAGGTGGGATGGTTAACTTGGAAACATGTGCAACTATATGTAAAAACACGTGAAAATCATGCAATTTTGCAGTTATATTCGAGCGATCATTACCTCTGATTTATTTTGCCACATGTGACATTTGGACTATCGCTACATTTATATTGCCGTGGCGTTCCCCCAAATGCAATAACCGACTTAATAGCGGTATTAACCCGGGAAACTCGAGCAGGAAGTGAGGTATTTCGGGAGCTACTTAACTTTTTTGTCACCTCAACGGGTGGAATAGAAGTAAAGGGTAGTTGTTTTTCCAAATTTGATTTAAAACTGTAACTGGATGTTTGATTATTTTCGCTTTCTGATATAGGAGTTGATTCGGTTTTATTTTCAGTCGTTATAGAATTCAACCGTTCAAGAAGTAATAACCACGAAGTGTTGGTGATATCGTTATCCAATGCAACAGATTCAGAAGTTGAAACTTCTTGAGGTTCAAATTCGGTAGTGGTGGTTGTTGTTGGAACATAGACTGTGCGCTTAAATGACTCTGTACTAGACGATATAATTTTGTCATTTAGATTGTTTTGTGGTTGAAAAGCTGGGGCTACGGGAACGGTGGCGGTTTCTTCGTCGTTCTCTTCAGTGGCGACATTCGTCGAACTCCATAATTCGTTATTAATGGAAGTGGCATTAACTTCTAGATGTGCTGAAGAATTTGAAAAGGAGGGTACAGATTTGTCGGTTGAATTCCAGCTGTTATTTTTTTTTACGGTCTCACCTGAGTGACTGTTTAAACGTGACTTTAAAAAGAAGAAGGGAGGAGAATACGTGGTTGGTATAATTATTTTGCTGCTCGTGGTGTTCAATTGACTTTTGTTGTAATTTTCAGGCGTACTTGAGGTAGGAGTCGTTGAGACTATTGAAGTTGACATGGACGTTTTAGTTATATAATGGAAAAATAGTGTTTTTGGTGTAGTTACATGATTTGCAAAACTAAATGGAGATGGTTGTTTGATAATTGGTCTTTGTACGGATGCGTCGGGAGTAGTCCGAAGTAAAGGGAAGGTAGGTTTTTGGATACTAGGAGTATGTTTGGAACCTGGGCTTCCCGGTAATGTATAAAGTGTAGGTTGTACTCGTACTTCATTCTGGTTGGCAGTGTTAGGGTATCTGTTGGATAAATAATAGTCTCAGAAGGCGAAATATTAATGCTAGATATAACTAAATCAAAACTTGCAGGTAAAGAAAGATACTACAAATTTCAGTCTCAAAGCTTTCAAGCAAGTGTGACAACTGTATATGACTCCTTTGCATATGAATGAAAACTTTCAAGCGCGACAACTCGTTGTAGTACCTTGCCGGATTTCTAATATTCTTTTGCGTAGAGTATTCACGTGGAGTCGATGCAGGTGTGGTGGTAGTGGTGGTCGTAATTCGTTTAGTTGTCGCAGATTCCTCAATATAATTCAATTCATTTCGATCTCCCCTAGGGACGTTATTCGATTGCATATATATGCTAGTAAGAGGGTATCATAGTTTTAACTTACCGGTTTGTTTGTTTGCTTGTTTGGTGATATACTGTACGTTCGTCATCCTGTCAAAACATTTTAGCGTTAACCCCATATAATCATAATACGCTTAAATAACTTACTTGAGTTCCGTAAGAAACGTCGTCGCTGTAACTCTGTACATCGGCCGGTTGGTAAATATCATCGGACGCGCTGTATGTGTTTTGTATGTAACCCGAATTACTGATTTTTGGCGATTTCTCTTGTTGAATCACTTCGTGGGTTACTGTTGCCGGAGTACCTCGATAAACTTGCTTTGGCGTCGGTTCATTATTGTAGTGTTGCGCATATTCTAAAATTGCCAAATTACCATGGAACATCGGCCAATCTCTCCCCAATTCTTACCGACGTCTTTGTATATATCCACATCATCATCATATAGAGCGTAATATGAATCATAACGAGAAGAGTCATAGTTGTTGCTGTTATTGTATATCGTTTTTGGAGGGACAGTTGATAGGGTTTGTTCAATAGCGCGATTGCCTTTGTTTTCAATTCTGAAAAGTATGACTTAATTTAAACTTGTCATAAAAAATCAATGATTCACTCAAAACCAAAAATCAACAGGAAATAATCCTTTTGAAAACAAATGATATGCTCCACTGTGTGTGCGTAATGACACATTTTCCAAAGTTGGTGAAAATTCTTGTCAGTTGACTAATTCTTATAAAAACAATTGCCTAGTTAACATGAAGAAAGGTCTTCAAGCATGAACTTTTAAAGTGGGATACAATTCCGACTGATGTCAGGTGTAAACCATTCAGAAATGAGCTACTATTGAAAGGTAAATAAAATCTTACACAACAATAGTATATGTACCTGTGTGTCGTACTAAGTCTATGTCCGGATTCAGTAGTTTGTCGAACTGTCGTCGATATTCTGGCAAAAGGTGACGTAATGGTGGTTGACGATCCAGTGTTGCGTTGCGTATTATGTAACTTAGCAAGAGGTGGTTTTACCTTTGTTATTTTTGGTAACGGTGTAGTGGTCGTTACGCTCGAATTTTTTAAAGGATATGATCTATTCAATGTCAACAAATTTAAATCGTCATCGTAGTATTCGGTTTCATTAGGATAGTCATAATACTCGTCGTAATAAGAATAATTTTGCGCTAACATTTTTGAAGATGTGCTTGGACGAATGGTCTCCCTAAAGTCTTCGTTAGTGTTAAATTTTGTTGGGTTGTTAGTCAGTGCCAATACCTGTTTTAAATGGGACGTGCCAGAGGTTATTTTCGTTACAGGTGAATCGGCGTATATTTCAATTTTTGGATTGGTGTTCTTTGTCAAATTTGTTCCACTGTATTGCGGTATTGATATCAGATGCCCCGACAGAGGTTGTTTGAGGTAGTCAATGAACGAGAGTATATTAAAACTGTTGTTATTGGGCGTATATAACGCGCTTATATTTTTTGGTCTATCAGTATTTACTGTTAAATACTGCTTGTATATACTATCTGGTCGTTTGCTGATTGGTATAAATTCTGTTGTCGTTGGTTTTCTGAATAACGCTATACTACCTCTTGTTTGAGTGAATGTATCCAAATCCGGAGCTCTGGGTTGCTTTCCCAGTATGGGAAAATGTAACGATGGAACAAAACCGTTAGTATTATAGTTTAACGTCAATTGGGCCTTGTGATTTACAGGCTTCGCATCCGGAAGTTGTGGAATATTGTGATGATGTAAATGATAATATTGGTAATTTTGATCATAATTGTTACTGCGTAAATTTGATAACGTAATCCGTTGGTAATTGTTATTTGCTAACGTGCTTGGTAAAATTTCCACTGAGCGATCTCTGCTATTTGTTATGTCTGTTCGATATGGTGCCAAGTAAGATTGAAAAGATGGTGATGCAGACGGTTGCCCATTTGGAAACGCTTGTGCAGCAATAACGTGAATAGAGCCACCGGCATAGTTTTGACTAAAAAAATTTTCAATCAGTTATTTCAAACGGTAATTTTTACAAAGACAGAAAACAGAGAAAATAGCTGAAAGTGTAAATAGGCCAGTACTACCAACACCCGATACACATTAAAGTCTATAGAAAGGAAATTTTTCACAAGTTAGTAAGTAATAACTGTTGACCGACAATCAGATCGTGCGCCTATAAGAAGATATACAAAGTAAAATTTTACCTACATCATTCCTTTTTCAATTTCAAATTTTGGAGTTCGAGAACAACCTTTAAATATTGCAATTATGCACAATATAAACCTGATACCTAAATTCACGAGCCTAGAGAAAATTAGTTCCACGTTCGTTTCACTAACTCGAAGTTTGGTGTATATTGTTAATTTTGGTACCATGACCTAACCTTCCTAAGCTAGATGCACGATGCACCGATGATATAAAAATGTTAACGTAGCGCCGACAAAAAGTGTTAGATAAGAGTCAAACAAAAGTAGGACTCCCGTGACTAAAATTAGACGACGAGAAGTTGCATAAGGTGATACAGTAAGAGACAATTAAGATTAGCATGGTGTACACGTGTTACATAATGCTCCAGTTAATTGCATTTACAAGAGCAAAATGACTTGCTATATATTACAAACAATTCAAATTGGGGCGTTAATGATCTTCTGTTATTTAATTTAACCCGCACTTTAAATTAAAGAGAGTTGTTAGCGTTTTTCCACATTTTAAACAAAATGGTTTCACAATGTGAAAAAATCTACTTTCACTTTTATCTTCACTGCATGACCACTCATTTGAATCATGTTTTCATTGCCTAGTGCAAAATGTAACAGTGTCGTTTTAAATAATTATATACATTTTAATAAACAGAAATAGTTCGTTAACCGAGGAGATAACAAAAAGCATTCTATTTACGATTCGAACGTTGAAAGCCAATTGCCAATAGAACGTGCATGCAAAAGGGCCAATAGACAATAGAGTTATCACAAAAATGGAAATGTTATAGAAAATGTCAATAGTGTCTAGTTGACGGAATGTCCAAAGAGAAAATAATTACCTTCGTCCAAGCTGTCTCTTATATCTGTTATGAATAATTGTAGTCAAACTGTTTGTAAGATGGTCGTCATCGTCAGTCTCGCTGATAAAAACGTGAAATTTAATCCTAAGATAGGAGGTTAACTTGGTTTACCTGTACTGTTGAATAGGTTGTTGCTGCTGTTGTCCACTGAATGATATAATGCTTATTTTTTCACCTCTGCCACTAGATAACTACAAATGATAATCAGATTAGAGTAGGTACCACGTTAGTGAGTTACATACAGGAATAGCATTCGTATGTTGTCTTAAACCATCGCGATCTCTTTGAACTTGCCCAACCGTAGATGGTTGCCCACGGTACACACGTTGCTGTCGATCGCTCTCAATTTCTTCAGCAGGCGATAAGGTATCGTCGGCATCTACATACAATTGCTGCTGTTGCTTTTGCTGAAAGTCCATCTTGAAAATCAGGATCGCGCGCACTCCACACTCACCTTAATCAGTTCCTGTTGACTATGCTGTAGCTGCCTTGGTTGCCCTCTAGATGTTACGACGGCCGCTGGTTGTGGTGGTATTGGAGGCGGAGGTGGAGGGTGACTATAGCGAATTTTGGAATCCGCGGACCGACTTGGTGTACTTGAAACGTATGCCACAGAGGGTGTGGTTACGACGTCTCCAGTACCGTCGCATCCTACATTTCGTGGCCAGTCACACGTTTGTAATTCATGACTAAAAATATGCTACCATTTTTAAACTGACAGAGTTTCACGTACGTCGGTTTGTTATGTTGTTTGTTGTATTATATGGGAAATATAGGTTAAGCAATAAATAAAACTATAACGATTGTTATACAATTCACAATTTCTTGCACCCAACGCACCTGTACATAAGGCCACCGGTGCATGATTCTAACAGTGCTCCTCCAAATACACATACGTAGTATTGCGTGCAGTCAGCAGGATGTGGGTAATATCCAAACTCTTCTGGACAATCAAAATTTAAGCTTTTCTTTACATCGGCCCCTACTGGAACATTTCGACCAAGTTTACGTTGTCCTAACGAAGTACCTACAAGAAATACGTTTTAAAAAAGGTAGGTACGATAATTTTATTATTACAACATTCATAACAAACACTCAACCGTACATACATTTTGTTTAAAAAAATACGCCGGCACTTTGTTACTTCCCTATTAGTCTAGTTTCCTACATGTTCCTAACAAATACAAGGGGAAATGTCTTGTATTAAATTCTAGGGTATTGGTAAAATAAAAATCATTTTACACTATGATCTTTTCCACCCCAAAACCAACACGCTATATGTCATAATCTGCAGGACGGTAGGTACGATGTTTTTCCTGGCAAACTTCTATCATCAAATTTGTGCTATAGTAGCAATTCGAAATTTGTAGAAAAAGGTGTTACTGTTACAAATTAACAATTTTTTATACCTAAGAGCTCTTTTAAATGATTAAAAAGATAAGCAGACTTGGTGTCCTTTCCGGAAGGCATTCTGAGTGCTATACATGTCACAAAAGCAAGATATGTCCACCAAATGGCGGGGGTTGATTACGATAAAATTTTGCAGGTGGATTCTTTATCAAATTTATAGATCGGAGTTCGTGAATTATCCGTTAGTTATGAACCGTATTGAAGCTCGTTTGCTATAATTGTTTAATTTATTATTTATATATTGTCTCAAGATTCCATAAACAGTTTTATTTCAAAAACTACATATATGATTTAAACATAATGATTTCTCAACAATTATTATCTTAAATGTCATATGGTACCTGACACTTCCCCATTTGTGTGTATACAAGAAGATTCACTTCAATAATAAGGCTCTCATTTTATCAAAAAGTCCTTAGATTTCTGGTAAAAAAAACTTTTGTATAACTCATAAACCCAATTCCGTATAGTTTAAGTGAATATAATTGAATTTATTCCCTTTACCGCTTTGAAATAAACCATTGAATACCTATTGATGTAAACACCAGCAAGTATAATAATAATTTAAAAAGTTAAAACATACATTTTTTAGTTTCCTAAAATTGCACCAAACAAGCATCTTTCCATTAGTATATAAACAACACAATATATAGGATTCATAAATGGTATTTTCTAGGGCGCACTGTTTAGTGTTTTGACATCATTATAGCGTCGTGGCACCATTACTTGTATACTGAAGATCGAGTAGAGACAAAATTTGAGTATCTTCTTAGAGTAATTAATGTGTGTGTATAAGTTGCCATCGAGGCCGCAAGTATTTTCAACCGAAATTGGCACACAAAAAAAACATCAAGATGGCGGACAAAGCTACTCGGCTGTACACACTATTCCTTGGTTGAATTTTAATCTTTCTGTAACAAAAACTTGGAAAGTATCTTTCCGGAATCTGAGATTATCTAATAGTGATTTATTTAATTAAATTGCATATTAGAATTTAGCTATTAATGACCCATCAAATTTGGGAACTAAAAGATGATGCTTATGTTAATTGTGCATATTGTTATGGTTATCAGTATCCGGCGAATGCCACCTTTAACATGAAAGGTCTGCTGAAACTTTCACTAGACGATTATAACATCAAACATTCTACCCACGCTCTCTGGGCTGCTTCCGCCAAGCCGCCACTTTGTCAATCCGCACGTGGAACCCCTAAGGTATACTTTTACCTTTACCTGCTTCAAAGAAAATTGATGTCTGATTAAAAAAATTCAAAAATTCTAGAAATAAAAAAGTCACAATCGATCCATCACCAGAGTTGATAGGAAATCTCATCCAAATTAAATTTCAAAACAAGTTTTAATTTCTACTTCATTAACTAAATGCTAAATTAATATGCTTCTCCGTTATTGTTCCTTGCGCTGATGAACAGCTTTACAATAGCACGTACAATTCCAATCAAAAGTAAAAGTAAGTTATTTCAATACCTATACATATGGCTACGAGTTCCTTTTTCATAAATGATTGGCCATGCAACCAGTTTTCTTATGCAAATTACAAATTCACCTAGACTGCGACTTGTCGCGAATGCATAACTCTCGTAATAAAATGTAAGAATCTGTATCAATTCCTTTCCTATGTACCTACTTAACTTATATACATATGTAACAGGAAATGAAATGAGGAAATTTATATCGCAATTTAGCATTGAAACCGATTTTCGCATAAAATCGACATGATTGAAAATTGCACGTATTACCTAAATGAGAAATCACATTTTTTTTACTTTCTCTTATTTTAGAAAACTCGTATCAAAATAATCACCCATCGGATAGGGACAGTGGCTAATTACACGAGAGCAAATTGTAATTTAACGCAAAATTTAAATATTTAGTGAAGCAAAACCAATAAATCTACGTAAGTACGTCATGATGTAGCCAGGAAAGGATGCAATTAAGGTAGGTGCAAGAAGAATTAAAATCACATTCGACGAGATATGGACATACTTACGAAACTCAAAAAGAGTTATTTCATTTTCTGCATCACTAGGTTTAAAGGATAATGTGATCTTGGCAGACAAATAAATGAGTAGGTATTTCATTGAAATTACCTTCACCTGATACAATCTTCACAATATAGATCCTTAGATAAACTTTATTTTCTATTACTTAGTCGAAGCATATCAGGTTTAAGAAGTCCTGGGACGTTAATGAGTAGATCTCATATACAATACGTAAGTACCTATTTGCCAACAGTAAAATGACTCGTGTCATCCCTTTAGGGAATCAACTCTGCTAAACCAGAGAGCTTTCCCAAAGAAGTTGAAAATCAGTATGTACAATTATAAAATTGACACAGTCAACAAAGCAGTTTGAAAGAAAACCCATTTTTTTATACTGTAGCAGTCTCCTATCAAAATGAAGTCCCATATCAAACAATAGCTGAGGTATACCAAATTATATCATTTGCGTTTTCTGAATCTCGTCCATGACTTATCCTTTGCGTCGATCATTTCTCTGATACTCCTGTTCCGTGTTTTCGCCTTGAAATTCGATAGGATTCTGAGGGCGTCCATTTCTACAGCATTGATCTTGTTTTTGTTTGACTCTGATATCTTCTCCATATGTCAGTATGCTTGCCACTATTGTAGTATTGGTATATACTCGTTTTTTCCTTCCTCATGTTATTTCTTCACTCCTCTTCGTCGTTGTCCTATTCTCTGTATCATTTCTTCATTATCTATTCCATCTGTAGTAATTTCAACTCCCAGATACCTATATGTACTTTACACATACTTTGATTTCTTCGTCGCCTTCGAGAACTAGCTAATAGTTTTTTATAGTGTTCTTCCCATTTTCGTATTGATATGTTTTGTAATCTTGGTTTGTTGCCGGATCTGACATTTTTGATAAACTTCCGGGCTTCCGTGCGTTTTCTTCCTCCAATTTAAATCTCTATTTCTCTGCATCGTTGGTCCAAAGTCTCTCTTTGTGCTTTTATCACTGCCTTCCCTGCCTCTCGATGTTTTTCACTATATATGACTCTTTGTCTTCATTGTTTTTAGTGTTTAGCCATTTGTGATACGCTTCTTTCATTTCGTTGATTTTGTCCTCTAAACTCTTGTTGTACCAACTGTTTCAGGTATTTTCAGGCTTATTTACGGTTCCCAGTGCTTCCTTTTCTGCTTGGTTTGATGTTCCTATATGTAGTTTTGGCATGGTACTTTCGTTTATGAAGCTTTCAATCTTGTATGTTGGGTCTCCTAAATCTTCCATGTTGCTTTGCTCCTCTGTACCAGTTTGTAACTTTTAATTTTGTGTTGTGTTCGTAAGGAAACATTATTTTGAGCAGCACCAGACAATGGCCGATTCGCAATCTCTCCTCTATGAACTCTAACGTAGTTTACTTGGAGCCTGGAGATTCTGGTTTTGCGGTATTATTATGTAGTCTATTATTGATTTTAATTGTCGCGTAGACTGTATCCATGTATACGCTATTCTCAAATAATTGTTTTTACATAATTCTATTAACCTGTCGCCTTTATTGTTTACTTCGATTTCTCCAAAGCCTCCCACAACTTCATCCCCTTCTCTTGTACCCGTTCGTTCATTAAAGTCGCCCATCATGGTGATTTTCATTTATGGGTATGAATTTTAACCATTTGTTCGTCAAATTGCTTCGAAGCCTTGTTATATATCTTTTATAAGTTTTCTTTATGAGTAGGGATACTCCTCTTATTATAGCCCTTCCTGATCAACGCTGAATGTTATATAGAAATTTATAACCAAAAGTTGGCTGCAGCTACGGGTACCCACCAATACTTCATACGTTAATGGGTTCAAGTTACGTTATACCTTTTCACAAACGCGTCTTCGTTAAAAAAAGTAATAGTGGTTCTTGTTCTCACCGATTATAATAAATATATAACAACTTCACCAAAATGACTTCCCATGCATAAGATGATAATTACGGAGGACTAATCTTTATTATATTACCCAAGAATTATTAGGCAACGCTTTTTCAGCTCATTACTCAATTTGGTATCAACAATGGCCTCTCCTTAGCAATAAAAATTTACATTAAGAATTATCTGGCACTAGACACAGTCTTTAATTGCGTAAAATTTAAAAGTAGTCCGTTTCGATGTTTGACAAGGAAAGTTGATGCATTTTTGACATTCTTTAACTTTTATTGCTATTCATTGCCAATATCAATCAGAATCACGTTTCTTCGTAAGTTTATATGATGTAAGAGCTACCACAAAAAATGTTAAATGTTATTCATTCACGGCACGAGTCCGCCGAAAATATCTATATATATTTGTTTAATAAACAACGTTGAGGTTTAAAAAAATTACCAAGGATCGTGACCTTACACGTAAATGTTATGCAACATCTGTATTTTTTCCAAAATCATCTTTATACGAAATTAAACATTATTCATTTATAGAATTACACCTGCTTGTTGTTTGTTATTATACTGTAATACAATTATGAGGTAAGCCTTTAGTTCTGGTCGAAAACTTTTGATCTTGCAAAAACGACGCCGCAAGAAGAGTACATAATGAAGAGGATAAAGAATATTAATTATTTAAATAAAGACGTACAACAATAATGATGT